TGGGCCGCTTCTCTCCTGCCACCACGTGCTGCTCTCTCTTCATCCACCAGGCCCTTGCGCGTGCTGCTTGAAGGTTGTGTTGGTGCTGTCTCGCTGGACGTGTTGAAGGCCTGCTTCTTGGACGCGTGCACCCCTCCAATAGCAAGCCAACATTCTCTCTTCACCGTGCACACCACTCTTTCAAGCCCAAAATCCTCTATCCATGTGGGCCGTGTTGTGCTTTCATCCCAGCTGCTGGAAAGTTCAATTCTTAATTGCCAAAGTCCTTTTGATGTCCGTGGCTTAGTGTGGCAGCTGGACTTCTCCATGGAGTGTGCTGTCAGAAATTCCTTCTCATGGGCCCTCTCTTCTTTCAAGAACGTGGCAGCTACTTAAGGACGTGGATGTGTGCCACTTATTCAATTGAATGTGCCTTTTCTTAATAACCCAAAAATGAATCCCGCCATTAATATCAAGTGCATTCTCCAAAATATAAAGTCTTGTGTTTGCACCTCAAAAATAAACCTCCAGGTCCAACTGTCATTTCTCTTTTAACTTTCAAATGTCCCAAATTATACTTCCAAAATTTTCCTGCAATTACTAATGCAAATAATTAACTCAAATAATTCAAATTAATTAAAATTAGAATTTCTAGTCAAATTAAGCACAATTAGCAAAAACGGAAAAATATCGGACATTTAAGCACAATTCCCTGATTAATTCTAGCACAATAAGTTAAGTGAAGTGAATAAAATATTGACTCATCAGGGAGAAATTCCCCGGATCTAGACTTCCCCGTACGTTCCCGTATCGACAAAATCAATAATCATGGCAATGAATGAGTTAAACAAAGCAAGCAATAAGCAAAGAGGAAAAACCCTAGCTAAAGATGAAAGAAAGCATATATCTTAATATAAGACATTAAATCAAATTCCATATATGAGAGTTTCACAAGAGTACATTGATTCCCCAACAACAATACAAGGTTTAGTTCACCACATTCATGGTGAAACTAGATGAACAATAATGAAAGAATGAAAGATAGAACCCTAGAAAGAGGAGAAGGTAGCCTGAGCATCCAAGATCTTCCTTCAAGGGATGGAAAAGAGAGTGTTTGTTTCGTCTCTCCCAAAGATACAAACCCTAGGACGTCCTAAAGCTTATATACTATTCTAAAATTATAGAAAATTAGGCCTAAGCCCAAAAATAGTGCCGCTCAGCGGTAAACTACCGCTCAGCGGTAAGTGCGTGAGTTGTTTTTCTCCCCTCAGCGGCCTTTTCACCCCTCAGCGGATCCAACATGACTGCCTGAGTGCCACTCAGCGGTAAACTACCGCTGAGCGGCAGTTGCGGCTTCTCCTTTTGCACTTTTTGATGTCTTTTCTGATTCCATCTCTGTCCTTCTTCACTTCTTTCACCAAATTCACCTTAAAACCTGCACAAAAACACTGAAATCAAGCGTAAACCTGTCCAACTCTCTTATTTCTAAAAATATGACCAAAAGCATGATTTCAAGCTAGTTTCTAAGTGTTAAAGGTTGCTTTTAGTATCAATTTTAAGCATGAAAATAACAGTTTTTCAACTGTTATCAGCCCTCATCATTTTAATAGCATTGCAAGGTTGATGGCCAATGCTGCAAACATGGAGGTAAAGCGTGTGTTGATACAATTGGTGAAGAGCAACCAATTTAATGGACTATCTCATGAAAGTCCATATGAGCATCTGACCATATTCAACGAGATTTGCAACACTGTGAAGATCAATGGAGTTCTAGATGACGCTATAAAGCTTAGTTTGTTTCCTTTCTCATTGGAAGGCAATTTTAAGTTATGGTTAATTTCTTTCCTAGAAGATAGCTTTACTGAATGGGAATATGTGGTTGCAAAGTTCTTGAACAAATACTTCCCACAGTCGAAAATCAATAAAAGGTAAACAGGAAATTTCCTCTTTCAGGCAAGGCATGGAAGAGACTTTAGGTCAAGCATGGGATAGATACAAGAGCTTGTTGAGAAAGACGCACACACATGGCTTTGATGAAGCCACAATAGTCATTCTTTTCCTTCGAGATCTTGATTCACAAACTAAATTGATGGTGGATGCCTTGGCTGGTGGTAATATCAAGTGCAAGACTCCAGAGGAAGCCTATGATTTGATTGACAACATGACTACTAATGACAATAAGATGCATAATGAAAGAGGAGCTCCATCTCAGCAGAAGGAGTCTTATAGTTACAATCTCATGATGCTTTGCTTGCATAGAATAAGATTATCACTCAACAATTGGAGAATTTGATGAAGAAATTCTCTCAATTGAAAAAGGAATTGCAGAATGTTTCAGAGGTTCAACAAAAACCCCATGAATTATGTGGTGGTGATCATATCAATGGTCAATGTGCTTTTCTAGTGGAGGCCCAAGAAGACGTCAACTATATGGGCAATCAATTTCGCCAAGGTAATTTCAACCAAGGGGGAAACCTCACCCAAGTATGGGTCAAGGTCAATTTGGGCAATCTGGGCAAGCAGGACAATTCAATAGACTACCGCAGCAACAATCACAATGGCAACAAATATCTGCATTATCTGATAGAACTTCAAAGCTCGAAGAAACCTTTCAACAATTTTTGCAGGTAACTATCTCCAACCACAAGAGAACTGAAGCTGCAATTAGAAATTGGGAGATACAGGTTGGCCAATTGGCTAAGAAGTTGGAGGATATGCCTGACAGGAGTTTTTGGGCTAATACTGAGTTTAAAGTGAAAATTTTTGAGAAAAGTGAAAAAGTTCTTCCTTATCCGAAGGAGAGTGATAAAATAGAGAAAGAGAGACAATATGAGTGGTTTAAAGATATCTTAAGACAATTGCAGATTACTATACCTTTGACCGAAGCACTGCAGTACTTTCCTGCTTATGCAAAGCACATGAAGCAATTCCTCACGAAACAGAGATATTTAGATGAGGAGACTGTGGATGAAAAGGGAGATTGCAGTGTTATTGTGAAGAAACCACTTCCTCTAAAAGTGAAATATCCAGGAAGCTTTACTATTCCTTGCGTCATTGGGAAGGAGAATATAAGGAAGGCCTTAATTGAGTTAGGGTCAAGCATTAATTTGATGCCCTTATCTATGCTCAAAAGGATTGGTGGTCTTGAAGTCAAGCCAACAAAGGTGACTTTGTTTATGGCGGATGAGTCTTCAAAGAAACCCTATGATGTAGCGGAAGATGTTGTGGTTTTTATATACAAACTTAAATTCCTGGTGGACTTTGTGGTGATGGAGATGGAGGAAGATGAGAAGATCCCAATTATTCTTGGAAGGCCGTTTATGAAAACGGAAAAAACAATCATCAATGTGGATGATGGGATGATACTGCTTCAAGACCGAGAGGAAAAGGTGATCTTTAATGTCTTCAAAGCTGAGCAGCAGATTCAAGAAAAGGAGACTAATCATAAAGCTGCATGTAAGGATGCACCCGTGACTAGCCATAAAGCTGCAAAGTCGGTCATCAAAGGTAAAAATTGTTTCTTGTCACAAGATAGGGAAGAAGAAAAAGATGACAAAGGAAGGATGCTTCATGATGACTTGTTGGATGCACAATTCAAACATGGTTAATCTGTAAGATTCAAGAACAAGTTGTGGGTTGTGAAAGACTTCAAAGAGAATGAGGTGATAGAAATTGACGCTCCATATTCAAGATGAGTCAAGAAGGTGGACTGAAAGCAATTGATGAGTTGGTGTGATGAAAGCAAGAGTTGAAGTATTAAGGAGTTGGAACTCAAGAAGAGATGGAAAAACATAAATTAGTTTAGGGGCCCTCAACGCCAGAGTACACTGTCTCACGCTTGGTTGCCCTTTTTCTAGAGCCCTTAGCGTAGGATGCACCTTGCTCGCGCTTGGGTGCCCTTTTCAGGGGCGCTGAGCGCCACTCCCTCGAGTCGCCCACGCTTGCTTGCCCTTTGAGCTGACCCTAAGCGCCAGTTCTGACTCGCACACCACCTCAGCGCCCTAAGTGGGGCGTTGAGCGTTAGTCTTGTGGGCTTGAACCCATTTTCTGTTATTTTTATGTTCTATTTAAGGACTTGGATGTCCTAGGGTTCATATATTTGGACGGAATAGGCATAAAAACAAACTCTTTGATCCCTCGGAGGCGGATTTGGATGCGGAAGCTCCTATCTTCAATTTCTAGGGTTTTATCTTTCATTCTTTTCCATTATTCATCTAGTTTCACCAAGTCAATGGTGAACTAAACTCTATTTGTTGTTGGAGAATGATGTAACCTTTGTAAACTCTCATGTATTGAATTGATTCTTTATTATTTATGCTTCTTTCATTAATTGTTTGGGTAATTCTTCTTCTCTTATTGCTTGCTTTGTTTAACTCATTCGTTAGCATGATATATGATTTGCATAAGTACCGGAAGGTATGATGGGTGTAACACTCCATACAAATTTTATTGCAAATAAATTCAGTATAGACTAGGAAGTGACTCCTAGGTTGTCTCTCAAGGACCAAATGTGGTTCGAGAATTAGGTCAGACACATAGTGAGGGGGGTTGGTGAAGAGTTTGTGAATGCAAATGAACTAAATTAAAACACGAATATAAACACTGATGTAAACATAGAATTAAAACGGTTGGTCACTAATTCAATTACATGCTTCCAATCACAGATTAATGACAATTACACACTACTCTGATCCAAATCGAACATGAATCACCCAACTAAGCGAAGGCTAATCCGGTCTTCAAAATTACAAACTAAGCGAATTCAATGCACAAATCCAATCAGTCCTGCACCATACAACCTAATCAACTAAGCGAGGATTAAACACCGATTAGGCAACTAAGCGTATACCCAATCGCAAGCACAAAACAGATTGAATATTGAGCCAAATCAGAGCAGTGACATGACAATTAAAGTGCAAGAGTCTCATGAATAAAATACTCTAACCTCTAATCCAACATGAATGAATCAACTAAGCAAAGACCAATCATGCTATCATAACCGCGAACTAAGCGAACGCAATACACCCATTCCATCCAATGTGTTCTATACAGATTGATCGACTAAGCGAAGATGCAATCACCAATTGGGCAACCAAGCATATACGCATTGCAAGAACACAATCAGATTTCATAGAATGCCAGGTGATGAGTGCATATTTATGCCCACATTTATGCTTTAAAACTCAAATTTTTGATGACATAATTGTGCTTAAATGGTTGATTTTAAATGAATTTGTAATGATTGGAATTGTTGGGTTTGGGAATTAAAGAGACGTAAAAAGTGAGTTTTAGCGCATAAATTATTCTTGGATGTTCTAATGTTTATTTGTGCAGTTGAGAATATAAGTTATATTGGTTCAAATGGCAATTCAAGGCCCAAAATCATATTTTATTTGCAAAGTAATATACAAATGTGCCAAAATGGCAGACTTTATCCTTACACCTCCTAAAATTCCTACATACACTCCTATTTCTGAAACAGGCCAACAACCAAGCCCAAACACTAAGCCTTTTCTCCTACACCCCTAAATTTCCTTACCCATACCCCTCCTAAGCCAAACTCCATCAGATGTTGCCACGTGTCCAAATCCTCCACTAACATATCAAACCGTCCAGATGA